TGAGGACAGAAGGATTTACCTTCTTTCAACAGCATTTCAAAATGTGGACTGAAAACGTCCCTGTGTAAAACAGACAAAGCAAACTTGGGAAGAAAGAAGCAATCCATATCCTGTGAAAAGCTGAAATTAAAATGCTTTGTTTGAAATATAAAGCTTAGCTCTTTTACTTTTTTTTCCCTTTAACAAAGTCCAGCTAGATTTTACCTAAGATATCAACCCATCCAGACATTATGTAATCTGCAGGTGACATTTCTGTGAAGATATGTGCAGTGTGGTAATTCCTGGAAGTTGTAATTAAAGACATAGATCTCCCTCCACGAACAACATAAAACACAATCAGCTGCAGAGATGTACAGAATAGCAGGATAATTGCAAGTGGACAGACACCTCAACCTTGGCCATAGCTAGCTGCCTTCCAGGCTTAGACAGAGAACTGCTTATATTTTCCCACATTTTTCACAACTGTAATTCTTACCCTACATTATTTAAGGAAGGTGATTAACTGAAAGTGAATTAGCTAATGCACCATACAAGACTCTGGGAGACCGTGATTTTTTTCATGCACTTAAACCTGCTAAATTTACAAGCATAGATGGTATCTTGTTGGCAAAGACAGCTTCTTTAAAAGCAACCGTTCTCTAATGGCACAGCCTGAAAACCAAGACCTGCTTTCTCTCCCGGTTAAAAGCAAGGTTTACAGGTCAAGTGCACACTGCGTGTCCTACCTGAGAGGTTCTTTGTGCACAACACTGTGTACAAGCACGAGCTTCCCCTAGGAACCAGGGACAGGCAAAGCTAACACCACCAAAGGCTCCCTGGCTAGTCCTTGTTTATCTTGATGGTGTGAGATGGTGGCTAAAAAAGCCCCCAGATGGTGACTATAAAGCATATCCACCATCTTCAAAATTGCACAAATAATGTACTGTAGCCTTAAAGTTACTCCATCTCTTGAAGCACAAGGGCTGGTTTTGCTCAAAGCAGTTATTTAAGGAGACGATAACGCGCCAGACAACACTCGAGGCCCACCCAAGCATTTCTGCTTTTTCTTCAGCAATGTGAGCTATTCTGTGAAGTTCAGACTTCACACTGGGCACACCCTGACTTGCAGATGACTGCACTGGTGCATATGCAGAATACAGCCAAACAGGGCATAAAAAACCCCGTGCTTTTCCAGAAAAGCGTAACAATAGCTGGGCTCCAAGGGAAGATCCAACCAGGCCCACATCTCTTCAGCAATAACCCACAGCAAGTGCTTATAGCAAGATCATGAAAGCAAGTATGCACGGGTGCCTTTACTGCTGGTACACTGCTTCCAGGAATCAACTCTTGCAGAATCTGCATCCAGCTTAACACCCACTAGCAGACTTATTCACCAAAGGGGATGACAAGTTCACGTATTTATTTCAACTTACAGCTTCTGCGAACCTTGGAACAACAAGTTCTGTAACTCGAATAATGCTTGGTTGGTCAATGTGCAGTCAGAAGAAAGGTGAAGCGACAGCCAGGTAAAAACAGTCAATACACCAGGAGCAGTGAATCAGCAAAACTGAAACATGAGGCTCTTTGGCCACCACTGGGTTCTTAGGAAGCAAGACACAGGGAATATTTAAGCCCACTCACCCATGCTAATTTACAGACTCTATAGAGCAGCATCACTGAAAGGAAAATAGAAATCTGGGAATGAGGGGTTTCCCCCCCCACTACTCATGTTAAAAGTTATCAAAGGCCAAACAGTAGCTAAAGCTCCTAAAATCCAGAGTGCTTCTAGTATAGGTAAAACTAGGACTGTGATGGGGAAAGAGGACACAGATCTATAAAGCCCACTATAGAGTTGTGTAAAACATCTTTATGCTCTGACATACAGAATTCCTGCAACTTTCCAAGCAAACTAAAACAGGATGGATGAATGCAATCATCCTATTTTTCCTCACTTCAGAATATGGTAAGACACAGTGCAGAACAGCTATAAAACTACATGTCTTTGACACACATTACCTTTTCCTCCTCTATTTTTTGTTTTCTCTTTTCTTCTACTGCAGCTCTCCGTTGTTCCTCCTTCTGCTTCTGTTCTTTTAGCTTTCTCTGCCTTTCTTCCAGCTGTTTTTCATATTGAAGTTTTGCCTTTCTTTCCTTTTCAAGGATCTGTGTCTCTTTGGCAGCTGCAAATTTTTAAGAGAAAGTAAAAATCAAACTTAACTTTTCATCAGTATTACAAAGTAGCATATAAGAGACTTCCAAGCTTAACTATCACTACTTAAAGGTAGCACATACAGCAAAAATTGTTTGCCGTCTTGAATGACATTGCATTTGACTACAGAGTTGCCTTTATTTCTGTTCCTCGGATAGGCACGAATTTGAAACTCCTCTACTGTTAAACTTTACTGACTAGACAGGAATGTCAAGATAGGCAGATGTGCTTTATTACACATACACTTTTCCTGCCATCATAATAGTAAAATCTTAATAGTAAATTGAGTATCAAAGGGCAGAATTTTCCGTATTCTCATTTTTTAAAAATAAGATATAATAAAAAGATGTAAAGTACTGAGTAAGAAGATGGAATAACATAGCAGTTATCACATCTGAGTTCAGGTGGCAGAGACCTGTTCTGTGGCTAGACAGAATGAACGCGCTGAGGACTAGATTATTACATGAGCATGCATAGGCACTATCTCTACAGAAGACCTAAAAGTGCTTCTAAATCCAGGTATGCCCACGTTGTGTCCTCTGTCCACCTTCACCCCACGTCGTGTCCTCTCTCCACCCTCACCCCTTCCTGCGTGGCCCTGCACAGCCCTTAGCAGCCCCAGCCGTGCTGGGCAGACGGAGACCCTGGTCCCCTCGCAGGTGGGGACACCAGCCCCAGGGCTGCAGGGCACACGATGGCCCTTGCTGCACACGTGCACAAACGGCACAGGCCACGCAGGACTGCCACGCTCCTGTCGGGGTCGTTGATTCTCGGCTCAGAAGTATTATTACTTCAGAAGTGTTTTTGTAAGTGCAGTCAGTGAGAGATTGGACAAATTTACTTGGCAGCCTCTAAGAGATGGAAGATAGCAACGTTTAGATTCAAGAAAGCAAGCAGCTCTGGAATATCTTCCTCTCAAACCTAATACTTCCCCATTCAGGTTCACGGATAGTCACTAAAGACAGACAAATAGCAGATCTTATTGTCTGCCCAATCAGGTTGAAAAAAATGACAGAACAGGGATTAAGAGAATAAAGCCAATAAAGTATTTTAGGAAATTATAATACAAAATGAAACTACCATTTTGCTTTTCCCGTTCTTCTCTGCGCTCCCTCGCTAGTCTTTGTCTTTCTTCTGTTCTTAGAATGGAACCATCTATCACTGTAAAAAAAAAAGACAGGTAATTGTCAGTTATTTTAAACATTCAAACTTAAATAAATTAAGTAGTTGTAAATCTAAACTATTGAAAGGATTGTGGAACATCCTGAGAGAGATACATACCATGGAAGTGCTGCATACTTTATACAGCATTTTATACATCCATAACATCTGGAAGGGGCTGACTGCTCTTTCTTCCCCTCTCCATTCCCTCACAACAAACAATCTAGTATCTTTAATAAGAGCAATAGAAATTAGACACAAGATTAAAAGGCTCAATGTATGCACCAAAAAAAAAAAAAGATCAGAAGTCAGTCATGTTGGACTCGATCCTGAAGGTCTTTTCCAACCATGATGATTCTATGATTCTTTGTTGCACTTATTCCAACTTCAGTTCTGGTCCTTATTCTTGTGTACATTAACTGCTACGATCAAGAAAGATAGGAATCCAGGAAAACGAAATCTGGGAACAGATAGTTTACCCGTCATGACAAATTTAGGTGCTTTAGGATAGGCTACTCTGCTAACTAAGGAGAACCAAAAATTCTTGAGCCTCCGTAGTTACAAAAACTTGAATTTCGGGCAGAAACAAACTGGTAACTAGCACAGAACACACACAGGAATTACCTTCATTGCTCTGCCCCACTGAAAAGACAGGCAACTTCAGCAAATGAATCTGAGCGAGTCAAGGCCACAACCTGGATCACAACTAGACCTCTAATGAATCTATGAAGCACCCCAAGTGCCCTACACCCTGATCCCGCCTGAAGAAAGAGCACGAAACTTCTTTTAAAAGATGTTTTATTCATCCCCACCAACTCTCCCTAGTGAACCCAGTACTTCATTACAAACAATGACCAATAATTATACCTGGTTTCGTTGCTGTCTTTATGTTTATTGAGGTCTGGACGGCAACAGGGCTGACACCACTTTGGCTTCTTCTTTCTTCTGCTATGGCTTGGGCTGCAGCAACTGTGAGAAAGAGGCATTCCACATTGAGAAAAATGATCTGCAACTAAATCTCATGAAAGAAAGATGGGAAATCTACTTAGGACTGAAGAACCTTTTATTATGTGACTAAATTTAGCGCTACTTGTCTTACAAACAAGGAAACAAAACTTTAGGAACTGCAGTTTGTTTGTACTGCATTTCAAACACTGATCTTCCTTCCTAACAGAGAGGCAAAACTTGTCCAACATGATTTCAGATCTGGCACAGCTTTTTTTTCATGAGAATGACAAAAAGAAAAAAAACGTTTTGAAACATGGAGGCAAGGACTATATAGATTAAAAAAAAAACCCTAACTTGTTTAATAATAAACTTTTGCAAGAAGAGAAGCAACATTTAGTACTTAGAGTCTGACTTATACCGAATACTAAAGACTCCCTGCTACCACATTGATATCTGCACACTTAACACATATATAATAGAGTCCTGGTAGAATAAAATTCTCAGGAGACCGAAGCAGGAAAAGTTTTCTGAAGATCTTCCATCACCTCATGACATGGAACACAAAGAGGAGTAGCTGTACAAAGCAAACCATTAGGGAATGCTTAGAAAGTATTTCTAAAGTTGGACTGGTAGGAATGAATCATAACTATAAATTAGGCTCCAAAACGGTAATTTACACATTTCCACCTGACCGAGGGGAGGGCAGGAGCTCAGTGCAGACACCCCATCCTGGCAGCGCCCATCCCATAATGAACAAACCCATTAAACAGTCAGGAAGACAGTTTAAAAAACTCTTAAGAAAGCTGAACTTTGGGGAAAAAAAAAAACAAACAGGAAAACAGAGCAGACCGGACGGCGCAACACCAATCAGCACGGCCACATTTGCAACAAACTACAGTATTGCAATTAAAAAAAAAAATGTTAACAACCATTTTACACAGAAAAGGCAATCCTCAAAAGTAACATACAGTGTTCTGTGATTTTAAGCGTAACACAGGGGATGAATAGTAGAATTTGGTGTTACATTTAAGCAAAAGATGAGAGCTTTGTCAGCGTCTCAGGATTTCCTTCACTGGAGCAGCACCGAATGCAAAGGAGGAAGGAAGAGTCTCCCTCCTCTTCATGTATTTCCATGACAACTAGTTCTGTCACGGCAATAATCCTCCCCCAGGCTGTGCCCAGCACAGTCCCCTCCAAGTGTTTAATCCCACGTGATGGCAGTGATAAATGCTGATTACAATACTTATTCAGCAACTCTGAATTGCAGCTGCTGCCATGTCTTGAATTCATTTTTTATTGCAGCCCCAAACAGAAGTTTTCCTCAGCGCTCTCCATTGCATCTCCAGGCTCTTTGCAAACAAGGAAGAGAGCAGATACGCTGCAACGGGGTGAGATTACCAAGAGAAAGGAGGGCGCGTGACAACCTCACTGCACACACAAAACGTCAACCAAAGAGCCGATGTTGTAGGTGCCACACGGCCAAAACACGACCCGGGCTCAGGGAACCAACGGAGAGCAGTTTGCACAGTCACATATCCCGAAGCCACCCGGCTTGAAGGCCCTGCAGCAATAAACACTGCCCATGGGGGCGTTTCTGAGAACACATCACCAGGGCATTTAGGTCCAAGGGCGCCTTTGCAGAGCAAAAGCACTAAAAGAATATAAGCAACTTCAAATACAGTTTAAAATCAGGGCAAATGCAGAAATGCAATTGCATTTTTTCAGTCCCCTGAGAGTGTGGGCGTGAAAGAGCTGGAAAGGGCAGGGAGATGGAGCCAGCTCAGAGCCCCCCGGGCTGGAAGGAGCACGATGGCATGAGGGGAAGGACGCAAAAAATGAACCTTATTTTACTTGTAGAAGTATCTTATAGAAATACTGCAAAACCATACTATTCGATAAAACACTGCATTTTATAGAAATAATACGATAGAAATCTTGAGGAATAAGCCAGTTGCCATGGATTTATGGTACTAGGTATTTATTCCTTTAAAAGAAAAAAGAAACCAAGGCTTGGATAATGTTCATGATGAGAAAGTGTCAATTTAATAAATGTGTCACACCTGCAAGGCAATTAGCTCATCTTAAAAATATAACTTAGGTTGAGAAAAATTACTTGAGATACTATAGAAAATCAGCAATGTAGGTCAGAGAAACACGACAACTTGCAAAGGACATAGAGGGGAAAAAAGTCTTCAGATAGTTAGCAAAAGAATTCTGCCTGTCAGTTACAATATTTCTGTTCACTGCTTCGGTGAACCCGGACAGACGCAACGTGCGTCTCCGCGCCGCATGGAAGCGATCCATCTAATCCCACCACGTGGGAGAGCAGCAGTAAAGGTGAAGCAGGGGTTCCAGCCAAGGGCTGCTAGCAGGGGAACACCATCCCGTTGATGCGTTCCCGGGATGCGTGACCGAGCGTCACGAGGTCCCAGGTCAACAGGGAAGTTCAACAACCTTCCTGGAGCTTCGGCGGAATTTAAAACAGCAATTTGTGACCGTTCAAAATCAACAATCTCCTGCTTCAAGAGAAAGTGAATCACATGGTATTGTACTGTGCAACCTTTACAAAATACCCCGGCTTTATTTTGCTGTAATATAAGAAATTTTTAACTTTCAGTATTTTTAAATACTCTTTGACATAGGATATTTACAGTTTTTGGTAACAAACGCTATCACCTGCTATGGAATGACCTTCACTGAAAAGAATTTTACATGAGTGATCTACCTCTAAAATGAGCCTAAAGCTTCACTGAAAAGAATTTTACATAAGAGTGATCTACCTCTAAAATGAGCCTAATACTTCTCTAATTAATAACAATATTAACAATAAAACCGTTAACAGCCATTTCAGTGCAACCCATTACGTTCGCCCCGTGTCTGGGAAGGCACCACAGAGATACCCAGGCATCTTCCCAGGGAAGTTAAAGGCTTCTCGGGGATAAATTAAGTTTCCTTTGTGCTCTGAGCTTCCCCCCTGCAGCACTCCGAGGCTGCAAAGCTGTCATTGTGATCAGCCCAATGCACGTGCCTGTTGTGCAGTTAGTCTACGTTTAAACACCTCGGCCAAAGTCACCAACAGCACAGGCCAACAGCAACGTTTGCACTATAAAATAGGGCTGTTTGGACCACAAAATGACCAGACGATCTCAGCAGCAGTTTTCCTACTGAACATTCATGGCCATTTAACACCAGGTATCTGCTCAGGTAGATCATGAACAAACCAAACCAACCAAAGCACCAGCTACTGCAGGCAAGATGCCAGATCAAACAAACCATCCCATCTCTCAAATGGGATGTTAGCCTGTAATGCAGCCAGCAACACAAACATGATGATGCTTCCGTTGCACCATGACGGCACTTCCCTCCACTGAGCAGGTTTCCAATATGCCCCGACGAGACCGGAGCTAAAAATAAAGGGTAATTTCTATTTCTGTCCTTGCCCTGAGGTAATACCCTTGGCCCTGCCAGGAAAGGCTGCCCAAGGACCCGCACAGTTCTCAGCAAAGCTGGACTGGCTCTGTCTCCAGCGAGATTTAGGAGGCTCCCGCTGCACCGTTTGCAGGGCACCTTTGGGCTGGCTAGACATTCTTCTACTCCTCCTTTCCCATATTGAGCCAGGAAGCAAACAGAACACACCAATTCTAGCAGCAACCCACCGGTTCTTATGATTTAATGACTCGTTATGAAAACAAACAAACAAAAATCCCAGCCCAAGTCCTTGACACTAGGGTTAGGAGAGGTGAATGACAAGGATTGTTATCTAAACATTATCTGAACCTAAATGTTTCCAAAAAGACTTAGAGCAGGTATTCAGAAGTCCATAAGCTCTGCAGAAAACAATCATGAATCCTATCCTCCTTATCAGGCATATCTGCTTCTAAAGTGAACAGTGTCAAATCTGCAATATGCTGCTTTTATCTTGCTTCACTACAGCACTTGCTGTCTGCCTAGCTGCTAGCAAGTTCCGTCTGTAACACATTGCAGAGCCTATTTCTTCTAATAATTTTTTGCACATGCAAGCAGAAGGCAGGATTCTAGCTGGAGATGTCTGTGTATTGTCTTTTATGCTCATTTTCAGGTCAGACAAGCGGATGCAGGATGCCGTGGTTCAGCCAAGTGCTGCTTTTACCCGGGGACCCCGAGGAGGCTGCGCCCCGACGTTACCGCGCTCCCGGCGCCGCACGAAGGAGCCTCCTCGTCCTCCTCTCCGTCCGTCCCCTCCGCTCCCGTGGGGCTGCCAGGCTCCCCCAGCACCGGCCGGAGCTCCGCGCGGAGCAGCTGGAAGGCAGATGGTTCTCCCGTTGTGTCTGCTCACCACCAGATGGGAGGCTCAGGACCTCCCTGGAGCAGCGCGCGCCGGCTCCCGGCTTCGGCAGCCTGGAAGAGCCTCGTGTTGTCCTATCCTTACACTTTATCTGCACATTTTCATTTTGTAGCTATTCCCTACATGTGCAACTTACTTTATTGCATGACTGTACGTTTCCCTCCCACAGCATTTGCCATGGTAATATTCAAGTCCACCTCTGCAGCTTCTGAAACAACGTGGTTTCCTTCTCAGGGTTCAACGCAGCTTAGGATGGTTTTGTCAACTCACCACAAATACAGATTCCGCTGCAAAACTGCTCAGCACAAACATTTCTTGGTAGTGCATGAACTAGCATGTCCACAAATAAGAACTTGGGACATTTTTCCCCAAATTTAAGTTATTACTTACCCTTATACATCCATACTCAGATTAGGAGCTAGCAACAACAAAAAACCCCACATAATTAACAAAACACCACTTATTTTTTAATAAGGCAATCTACAAAGATACAGCAGAAGCAACCTCCAAGACACGTTACCATACTCATTCAGCCCAAGGCAGCTCAGAGAGGCACCAGAAAGGTTTCTGGTTAGGATAATTTGTGGGTTGATCTTTTCCCAAGGGGAAGAACACAGGCTAAGCCAAACCTGAAGGTACCAAGAGCACAGACCAAGGCATCCACATTTGTCCCTCAACAGAAAACGTCTCCA